GCGTCCCCGCGGTCCGCGGCGGCGGCGGCTCCGACGGCGGCGGAGACGACTTAGGAGAGGACCCTCCGCGCCCTCCCCCGCTGCTCCGTCCAGCCGCCACCCCCTCACCTGGCCTGGGGGTCCTGGCCACCCGCACCTGGCCTGGGGTCCTGGCCACCGCACCTTCCAGAATGTGGCCGGGAAAGTGTGTGTGTGTGGGGGGGGGAGTCCTTGGGTACTGCGGGCCACCACGAGGCCTCAGGATTCCGTCCCGTTCTCGGCCCACCATCTCTTGTCTAGCAAGCGGACTAGCAAGGGACTCCGTCCCTCCTCCCTCTCTCTACCTCTCTCCCCTCCCTTCTCCTCCAGCTCCTCTCTCTCTCTCTCTCTCTCTCTCTCTCTCTCTCTCTCTCTCTCTCTCTCTCTCTGTCTGTCTCTCTCTGTCTCTCTCTGTCTGTGTTAGATGGGGAGGTTGGTGATCCTGGCTGACTTGGTGTATACCTGAAGGGAGAGGGTCTGGCTAGGTGCACGGCAGGGCCAAGTTAAGGCTAAGTATGCTTGAGCCACTTTCATTGTATCTTTGCTGCAGGTAGCTTGGGCAGGTGACAAACAGGCAGGTAACGCTTGGTCTGTGGACTCTTGACTCCTGCTGACTTGGCCACCTTTCACCCTCCCATTTAGCGTCCTGGTTTTATGGTGAAGTAAAATTGTTCTCAGGTGGGTTGCGCCCAGGCCTTTTCCCTTGAACTACTGGGCGGCTTGATGTAGCCTTGACCTTCACATACTTGCAGGCTGTTTCCTCCTCCTGACTGCCAGCCTGGGTTTACAGTCCACCTTGGACAAGCACCTGTGAACTGTGGTTTGGAGGCAGATGGTTACTTCAGCTCTTCCAAGAAATTGAAGTTTATTCCGGGAGATAGGTAAAGTGTCCTGATGGTGCCATGAACCTCCTGTGTGTCCAGCCCCCTTTCCCCTACCAGGGACTACAAGGTTGGGCAGAGGTTATCAGAACTTTTTTTTCTCTTTGAGAAAAAAGAATATATGTCTTTATTTGGGCAAGAAGTGAGGTGTAGATTTGTGATGTCAGTGTGTTTCCCCTGAATAAAGAAAAACAAGTTCAGACAATAGCTGGGAAGTGATTTCCTACCAAGCACTGTAACTCAACTGTGGAAGTCTATTAAGTATGTTTACAAATAAGCACTAGTCACTTTTAATCTTTACAAAAGATGTTTACATTTTTTGGTAGAACTCAGGTCTTAGTTCAGGATTTTGTGTTTGCTTAGCAGATTCTCTACTACTTGAGCCATGTTCCAGATACAGCTGAATTTAGATACTTAGATGGCTGGCTCCAGGACTTTTCTCCTGCTTCATGTTTATTTGATCCGTGGGTGGGGGGAGGGAGAGGGGAGAAGGGTGTTGGTATTGGGGCTTGAACTCAGGGATTTGTGCTTTCAGTTAGCTTTCAGCTTGCTTGGTCATGGCTAATGCTCCCCCACTTGAGCCACACATTCTGTCCAGTCTTCCCTTTAACCTCTGGATCTCATCTTCCTGAATAGCTATGATTAAAGGTGTGAGCCACCAGAGCATACCTGGTTTTCTTGGCAGGATGGTGAGGATGAAATTAAGAGTCAAATTCAAGTTCTGACCAGGATGCAGTGACCTTACAGGTCAGACACTTTTACTAGTTACCACCCTGGGCCCCTTGGATGTTTGAAAACATCAAGCACAGCCCAGTAGGAATAAGGAAGTAAGTGAATGGTTAGCTTAACAGATTTAGGAGTCAAGTTCACTACCACTGACTTAGGTGGTTATAGGAAGGCTTCCTGCCACCCCAAAGAGCATGCAGCATTAACCCAGACAGATTCTGTTTCCCTCAGACAGAAGTCCTCATGGTTGATTTATGGAGAGAAAGCCTCCCACCACTGAGCCATAAAAATCAGCCTAATTTTATATCTCAGTAAGTGCAGATGGGGTCTTTAAGTTGACCTTTCTTCAATGGGACATTCAGATGTTTGATGACTACACATTGCTCTACCTGCCTCATACCCTCTCTGTTTCCCCTTCCAGATCTCAGGGAAGGTGTTTCATTTCTGAAAACTTTGATTACTTTGGGGCTCCTTGAGGTCCCCTATATGGCATGATCAGTTGCCCCCAGTACTTGTCCCATAGTTACAGTTTGATTTTTGTGCCATATTTTGTCAAGATCTGTGCCCTAGCATGGCAGGATCAGGTTACTTTGCTTGCAGGTGTATACCTGGCCCCTAGCAAAGGCTTGGGGCATTGGACTTCCGGGAAATAGTCATTGAATGAAGAAGACTTTCCAAAACTCTAAGATATTCCAACAATGTTAAAAACAAACATTTGATTTTCATAGAGCCATTAGGCTTGAAGTTCTCCTAAAAAAAAAAAAACAACTGGGCTCCAGTGGCTCCCACTTGTAATCCTAGCTACTCAGGAGGCTGAGATTTCAGGGTCTGAGGATTGTTAGACTCTTATCTCCAATTAACCACCCCAGAAGTGGAGCTGTGGCTCAAGTGATAGAGTACTAGCCTTGAGCAGAAAAACTCAGGGACACCTGCCAGACCTTGAGTTCAAGCCCCAGGACTGGTGCATGTACATACACACACACACACACACACAAAACCCCACAACACTGTTTAGATATCACTGACATCCTAGCTACTCAGGAGGCTCAGAGTTGAGGGTCATGGTTTAAAGCCAGCCATGAGCAGACAAATCTGTGAGACTCTTAAACTGCAGTTAACCAGTAAAAAGCCAGAGGTGGACATGCGGCTAAAGTGATAGAGTGCCAGTCTTGAGCAAAAAACCAATTGGGAGCCAGTACACACACACACACATATACACATACATACAAAAGAGATATAATTGACATATAGAGAGCTGTGCATATTTAATATATACATCTTAAATATAAATGTATATATACCTGTAAAATATCACTACCACATATCTGTTACCTCTTAAAGTGTCTTATGGTTCTCTTTATTATTATTGGGGAGTAGGGAAGAACATTTAACATAGTTAAGTGTTAATATACAGTATGCTAGCCATAGGCATGTGCTATTAAGAAGATCTCCAGAATGTATTTATAACTGAAATTTTGACCCCTTCGACTATCACTCCTCCATTTTCCTCTCCCAGTGTTGTTTTTGTGGCCAGTGTTCTATGGCATGATGAAGGCCGGAACCTTCTCTTCTGCTGTGATACATACACATCCTGTGTGTCTTTAGTGATCACTTTGTTTTTATCATCACACATCCTACATTAATTTTAGCAAGAAGGGCCAAGATTTGCTGCTAATTGAAGTTAGAGTCTTTCTTTTTTTCTGGTAGATTTTGTAATACTTGTACTTTAGAAAATACTCAAGTAAATGGTTAGCTGATTGCAATCCTCTTTGAAAGGTAAGGCAGTCTCTTTGAAGGAGATAGAAGGAAAATGGCTATGGGTGGGTGGTCTGCATGCCTGGTCTTATACTTCTCCATAGATGGGGTTATCTGTAGTTTGTGGGGGGAAAACATTTTGGGGCCTAATATGAAAAAAAGATCTTCCTCCCAGTTAGAATACGTTGGTGGTGGCAACAAGAGGGGTTTGTGATATACAGAAACGAGATGACCCTGTGACTTCTCATAGCCACTGTGGAGATGTGGCCTCTGGCCCCTCTTCCTTTTTGATTCTCTTGCCAGTGCCTGCCTCTCCCTTAGGTGAGCTGGAATGGCTACAAGTCCATGGACTTGCTTTCACAGACAAGCTTTTCTGAGCTAGATTCCTGCTTCTATACTTCCAAAACTCACGACTTGTGCTGTGGGGCTCAAGATGTTCTGTAAAATAGATGCCTTCTTAGCTGGACTCAGGTGGCTCACGATGGTAATCCTAGCTATTTGGGAAGAGGCTTAGCTCTGAAGATCACTGTTTGAAGGCAGTCCAGGCAGGCAAGTCAAGAGAGATTCTTTTTTTTTTTTAATTAATTTATTTATTTTTTATTTGTGAACATACTATACAGAGGGGTTACAATTACATGGGCAGGATAATGTGTACATTTCGTACCAAGCATTGCAGCCTCCTCCTTTGGTTTACCCTTCACATCCCTTCCCAGCCTCCCCCCCCCCCCCAATCCCAACCCTTCTTCTCCCCCCCCCCTTCCCCCCCCCCTGGACCGAGACATGTATTTTAATGTTTTTTCTTTCATGCATGTATTTCTAACGCATTTATAAGACTATCTCTTTGTTGCTTTGTATGTCCCTCCCCCACAGTATAACCCCTGTTTTCACTATATTTGATGTCAGTATAACTTGTGGAGGAGATGGGGAAAAAACAGTTGTTTAAGGATACAGGTGGACCTGATGCAACAACGAGAAGTATAAGTTGTCATGTCCAAAACGAGCTTTCAAGAGAGATTCTTATCACCACTTAACCAGCAAAAAGCCAGAAGTGGAGGTGTGGCTCAAATGGTAGAGTACTAACTGGAAGAAATAAAGCTAAGAAAAGAATGTGAGGCCCTGAGTTCAAATACCAGTACTGGTGCACACGCGTGTGCGCACACACACACACACACAGATGCCTTATTTTCTATCCTCTTTGAAACCCTAGCGTGTGTACAGAACTACACCTTTTCATCTGTGGCTTCTGAGAGATGTCTCTTAGGTAGAAATTGGAGCGATTTCACTTTGCTGCTGAAAGAAGATTCCTGACTCCTGCACGAGGAAAGAAACAGGTTTTAGTTTGTAAGAAATGATTTGAATATTAGCTCTCTTTGGGCCAGCTGAATCATGTTCAGCTAAATTCTGTCCTATTTGAATATTCACTTTTCCTAGCCTTTTACTTAGTTAATACTCATTCAGTAAATACCCCTGTGAGCCCAATGTTTCTACCATATAAGATGAATTTACATTTTGCAGAAGCCAAGTGTTTTTCACTGTGCCAGTACACAAGATGAATTGAGGGCTAGGTTGGAAATGGACAACAGCCAGGTTGTAAATATTCTTGACTGTGCCCTTAATACTTCACCCTGCTTTTAGAGAAGACATGGACTTCGATGAAGTTACATGAATGGCCCTGGTTGTGTTCCAGTAGAACCTTAGTCACCAAAAAAAAGGTGATGGGCCACAGTTTGCGACAACTTTTCTTTCAGGAACCTACAGATAATGAGAACCTGCTGAAGGTTCCTGAGCAGGAAAATCCTGTAATGGCAGTCCATTTTAGAGGAACCATTTCTAAAGTCAACTGAAACAGAAAGAGTGCTCAGTGAAAGCTTGCTACTCCTTTCGAGTTATGTTTGAGCCACTCAAGCCAGGGATGACATCCAAGGATTTAGGGAGAACTTTCTGGTTGTTACTTTGACAGAGCTTCCAGAGCCTAATACACACACTGCACATTTCACAGATTTGTGGGTGCTGAGTTAGAAGCTCCATGAAGCCTTTGCTTTCTGCACTGCTACATGGATACTCATTCTCTGGCATGAGGTTATGTTTGGCTCTCACATATTTAAATATATTAGTGGGGTAGAAACTCTAGAACTTAAATACAGAAGGCTTATCCATGTTGATATGTTAATAGCATTTAAAAGCATCACGAAGCCAGCAGTGCCACTGAATTCCATCTTTGTGGTTTGCTTTTCCTTCTTAGATGGCAGATGACCAGGACCACATGGAGAAACAGGCAGCCGGGGATTCTGTGAGTCCAGATGCAGTTGATGCAAAGCCAGACCGGTCCTCATTTGTAGCAAAACTGTTAAGGTAAGTTTACTTCCGATGTCGATCTCAGCCTGCCACACCTCTGTCGTCTCCACTCACCCCTGAAAAGGCAGCATTGGGGGATGGAGGCCTCTACAGGACCTTGCCAGCTGAAAAATGACTGCACTGGATTCCCAGTGTACGTCCTCTGGGCTCTAGGACAAGCTGAGGAGTGGGGGAACCATACTGTGTGGATCTTCTGCCCATAAGCTGTGTGTCCAGGGACAGTTTCCAGGAATGAGGGCTATTTTCATCAGAGATGACTAGCAGAGCAAAGCTGGGGCCTGCTGCCACCACTTGGGACTAAGCTTGGCTAGAATGCAGAATAAAGAGGTGTTAGGATGACCAGCTTCCACCTACACCTTCAGACACATCTCACAGGTGTATGATGACAACAGCATCTCTTGTCAACTGGCTCCCACCTTTCCCTTTCTGGAGTCTGCAGTAACTGGTTTGGGATGCCCCCTCACAGACCACCAGAGACCACGATCAATGCAAACAGCAAAGAGTCGTTTATTGCAAGCTCGAGCTTGGTCCTCTGCGCACTCAGTAACCGGTGACGCTAAGAGGTCCTGAGCACAAAATTAGCATAGCTTTTATAGTATTAAACAAATTCACAAGTTCAGGGGGTTTTCACACAAGCAAGTTCATAAGTTCATGGGGTTTAAGTCCACCCTGACTGCACTTCCCTTTTTCTGATGGAACAGTGGGCAACTGTTCTGTTCCTTAAGGGTGGACAGGGTTGGTGGCAACCTGCGGTTTTTCCGAGAATTATTTTTCTCTTTGGCAGCACAGCTTTCCTTGGGGGTTTACTCTGAGGGCAGCACAGCTCAGGGGGCTTGATCTTAAAATGGAGTTACTTTAGCTCTTCAGAGTTCACTTCTACAGTTCCCGATTTTATAGTCCAAGCCTGTAATCCTAGCTACTTAGGCCGAGCTCTGAGGATTGAGGTTTGAAAGCCAGCTAGGGCACAGGTATGTGAAAGGTCCTTATCTTCAATTAATCAGCAACAAAACAGAAGTGGAGATATGGTTCAAGTGGTAGAGTGCTAGCCTTGAGTAAAAAAGCTGAGAGAATGTGGGCCTGAGTTTAAAAAAACATTCACAATTTTACATTTAATAATTATTATGGCTTCATTTATTAAACTTCGATATGCCAGCTTGGAATTACTATATTTTGTCCACATAATCCCAGGACATGGCTCTCTTGTTATCAAGATTTGACTTGGAGGGAAACAGAAGTGTTAAGAGGCTTAATAGCTTGCTGATGACTGTCAAAAAAATCAAAGAGCTGAGATCAGACTTTAAACAGCACCAGCATCACATTTCATGTAAGGATTCATCCTTTCTATTTAAAAAGAAGAGGGCTACAGAGGTATAGAGGAACCTTGTACCTCCCCTTAACCTTGACCAGCCATGGCTGGGCAGTGAATGAGTTTCCTGACAGGAAGCAGTAGTCATCCCTGGGTCAGAAGCATTAGACTTCACCATACAATAGTCCCAGCCCTCTCTTTATCCACAGTTTTGCTTTTTGAGTTTCCAGTTACCCATGGGCTACTATGACTTAAAAATATTACATGGAAAATTCTAGAAATAATTCATAGGTTTTGAACCGCAGATGATTCTGAGGAGTATGATGAACTCTTTGACCATCTGGCTTTGTCCCATCCAGGATGTGAAGCATTGTCTGTCTAAGTTCATTACTAGCTGTCTCAGTTTATGGCAGCATCTGTCCAGGTATGGCAAAGCTTATGCCCAGGTCACCTGTACCTTATGTAATTATGGCCCCAAAGTGTAAAATGATAAGGCTAGAGAAGTCATGCAATACTTCTTTAAATGAGAAACTAATGAAGATAGAGAAAAATCTTGTGCTCCGGTATAAGAACAGATCATCTATCTGTGAAATTGGGAAGAAGAGGAAACAATTTTTGCTAGGTGTGCTGTCACAATCTCACCCTCCCTAAGCTTGTCCTCCGTGTGTGTGTGTGTGTGTGTGTGTGTGTGTGTGTGTGTGTGTGTGTGTGTGTGTGTGATAATTGCTTTGTTGCAATGGAAAGGCATGAGGTCAGATCATAGATGGGCTTTCAGACAGCCATTGGAGTCTGGGATCTTGTGCCCCACAGGTAAGAAGGCACCACTGTCCATCCTCAGACATGCCCACCCAGGAGAGACACAGCAGTAAATAAAAGTAGAGATTGGAGAGTGCTCCCTAGCAGTGCTTCAGAGAGGAAGAGTTGATAGCAAGAGGCAGTCTAGTTCCCTGCAAACATTCCCCCCTCCCATGCAAAAGAGAAGAAACCCTGGGGCCATGTTTTCACAGACAAGATTTGGAATAGGGGGAGGGATTCTAACACATGGAACTTGAATTCAATTGGTTGCCATTGAGGGTCAAGAATATCCAATGAAATGACCCAAAAATGTAGCTCTAACTCCTGGGCATGTTCACAAACCAAGAGGTAAATTGGTTCAGGCTGATACCACACCATGTAGAGCCAAGTTTCTTAGAGCACAGGCCTCCAATTTCTTGACGTAGAACTAAGCCCAGCCTTGTATAGTTACATGCATAGTGGCATCAGAATTTTTAAAGATACTTTCAAATAATATAATAATATTTTCATTTTTTCCCATTCTTTTGTGAGTATTTAGGTTAAGTAAATGGCTTCTCAGTGAAAGAGAAAGTTATTATTTGGCAATCATTTCAAGAAGTTTAGTAAAATCAGAAACAATATAAAGGAATGCTGTGTTGTAAACACTGACATTTAAAACTCATTTCTTTAAATATATCCAGTGATGGAAATCCATTACCCATTAAAAAAAGCCATGACATTACCTGACTTATGAAACTGTAATCCTTCTATATATCATCTTATACTAACAATTTTAAAAAAGACATGAAAGCTTTTAATGAACAACCAGATTTTTTTAGAGGGGGATTTGAACTCTGATGTCTCATGTCTTCACTTAGCTTTTTTTGATCAAGGCTGGTGCTCTGCCACTTGAGTCACACCTTACCCTTTTGCTAGCTAATTGGAGCTAAGAGTCTCATGGATTTGTCAATCTGGATGAGCTTCAAACTATGATCCTTAGATCTCAGCCTTCTGAATAGCCAGAATTACAGGGATTAGTCTTGGCATCTAACTAACAACAAGAATTTCCATGATTTTTACATCCATAAACTGTTTTTTCTTCCCATTTTATACCCCCTTACAGTTTATTCTGATACAATAGATTTAGTTGGGTTTATTGTTCACTTCATTATACAACTATGAATATATATGAAGGCATTCTTTCAGATATCAATAATGTTATAAGAAACTTCTTAGACAAAGTTTCTATTTCAGTTATTATTAATTCATAGTTGATCTAAGCAAATATAGAATTATGAAATTAGAATTATGAAATTCATTACTCATCAAAATAATTCTTAAGTAGAAACAATTCCATTGGGTGGGTTTTCAAAAAGTTTCCCAATAATTGAACAAATAACCCTGATTGCTGGAATAAGAAAAAGTTAAAAATATTGTTTCTTTTCCCTACTTTTTGTGTTTAGAGACAAAAGCACTGAAAAATATAAAGGCACAGAAACACTTATGGGATGGTAGGAATTTTGTTATGGTAATATCACTTAAGTCTTGAAGTTTTTCTGAGCTCTGTGCCACAAACGACAACTCAGTTAAGTGCTTCTTCCATGAAGTTGAAAGTAAAGATTTGGAACTTTCCAGGCACCCATGACTCACAGTGTAATCCTTAGCTACTCAGAAGGCTAAGATCTGAGGATTCTGCTTCAAAGCCAGTCTGGACAGAAAAGTATATGAGATGCAAAAGACCACAAGTGGAGGTATGACTCAAGTGGTAGAGCACCAGCCTTGAGGGAAAAAACTAAGGGAAAGGGCCCAGGCCCTGAGTTTTAAGCCCTGACACTGACATTGAAAAAAATAAAAAGGTAGTACCTGAATTGCAAAAGGAGTGTTGTTCGACCTTTGGAATTTTGTATTGTTTTGTTTTAGTTTCTGGAAAGTACCCGGAAAAGACAGTACCAAAATCCCCACCCCTCTCAAATTGTTGCCTGTTCTCCTTTTACTTAGAGGCAAACAGGTGTAACTTAAACTATTCCCCCCCAAAAGATCATTAAAGAAGCATGAGTCATTCTTAATTTGTATATCAAAATCTTGCAGCTGCCACTGTAGGGCATACATTTATGGGAACTGCTGTATTATGTATTTGGCAAAGTCAGCTTGCCAGATAGGTTACTCCCATCCCCCACCAGACTTGGTTCCTGTCGAAAGGTCTCGTACCATTTTCAACTTCAATAAATGTCTTATTAGGTGTCTTGCGACAATCATCATGTTTCACAATTCTAAAATCTAGTTCTTGGATGGATGGACGGATGGATAGATGGAAGGAACGATGGGAGGGAGGGAAGGAGGACCTGGGGAAAGAAAGAATACCAAATCCAGCCCTATTGTTGATTGCTCTCACAGAACTCTAGCACTACAGGGATAAAATCTTCTAGAACTGGGGCTGGGAAGGTGGCTCAGTGGTAGAGCGCTTGCCTTGCATGCATGAGGCCCTGGGTTCAATTCCTCAGCACCACGTAAACAAAAAGAAAAAAAGCTGGAAGTGGCGCTGTGGCTCCAGTGGTAGAGCACTAGCCTTGAGCTGAAGAGCTGAGGGACAGCGCCCAGGCCCAGAGTTCAGGCCCCACAACCGGACCCCCCAAAAAAAAATCTTCTAGAACTATCAAGGGAAAAAGGAAACAAGTCCATTAAATGAAATCTGTCATCCTCATTCATCCTACAAGGCCTGGATCTCTGTATATTCAATACTTTTCAGTATTTAACTGGATTTGGAATTGCAAGTACACCTCACCCCCTACCCCCCACCCCGCCTATTTCTAACACCAGACCTCACTCTCCTCAGACTGTTGTCTACCTGGAAGAGTTACCACAGTCTCTGATCCCAAGAACCTTACAAATATGGCAGTTTACTTGACTTTTTGGTAGA